TCAGACATGACTAAAACCAGCTGCAAAACAGAGAAGAAATAACCTCACTGACACTATACCCTAAGAGCCCGAAATCAGAAGGAGCATCAGGGTGAGAAGCAGGTCTGCCTAGATGGAGGACTTCGATGCTCATATCACCGAAACACCTGCACTTGAACTCCCCTTCTTCATGTACACCACCCCTGCATACAATCATGCCTATATTAATTTTGTTGTACAAGTGTTTGTTATAAAGGAACTGAAATCATACAGGGATGCTAAAGAAGACAACAGGTGGGTTGAGGCTATACAAGCCGAATTATCCGCTCTGGAAGACAACAATACCTAGGAATTAACCATGTTACCCAAAGGTAAGAAAGTTATTGACTCTAAATGGATATACAATTAAGTACAATGCAGACGGTTCAGTTGACAAGTACAAGGCAAGACTTGTTGTCAAGGGTTACAACCAAGAGTTTGGTATAAACTACCATGATAATTTCTCACCAGTGGCCAAGATGGCTACGATTCAGTTTGCCATAGCAACCGTAAACAACTGATCAGTGTACCAATTAGACATTAACAACGCCTATCTACACGGGTTCATAAAAGAAGAATTATATCTAAAGCCCCCGGAGGGTTACTCTAAAGCTAGTGAAAGATAAGTTTGTCGTCTAACTAAGAGCCTATATGGTCTAAAGTAGGCTTGACGCCAATGGAACAAGGAAATCACCTAGAAGCTCCAGTTCATTGGCTTCACAAAATCAAAAGCTAATCAATGCCTATTTATAACAAGGACAAACGAAAATTATGTTGCAATTGTAGTATATGTAGACGATTTGCTCATTACAGGTCCTGACGAAGGGGAAATCCACAAAGTTCAACGTGTCTTGAATGAAGCTTTCACGGTGAAGGACCTCGGACAAACACGATATTTCCTCGAGGTCAAAATAGCCAAGTCGAAGGAAGGTATCTACATCAGCCAAACAAAATACATCAAAGATATTTTACAGGATACAAGAATGCAGGATGAAAAATGAAGCTATTTTTCCTTACCTTTTAGACTATAATTAAATACAGAAGAAGGAGAAATCTTACCATATCTGGATAGGTACAAGCGTTTAATTGGCCGCTTGCTCTACCTCAACTTCACCAAACTCGACATATCTTATGCGACCCAACATCTAACTCAATTCATGTAGCGGCCTAGACGGTCGCATCTCGATATCGCGCTTCACGTCGTCAGATACCTAAAGTAGTATCCGGAGCAAGGCATGTTCTTCCCAAAAAAAAAAAATGACTTTAAAGTCCAAGCCTTTTGTGACTCGAATTGGGCATCATGCCTGATGACCCATAAATCTTTTACGGGCTTTTGTATCTTTCTCGGGCCATCATTAATTTTTTAAAAATAAAAAAGCAAACGACGATAAGTAAGTCTTCCACAGAAGCCGAGTACAGAAGCATATCTTCTATGGTATGCGAGATTCAATAGATTACTTACCTCCTTCGAGACTTTCTGATAATGCTTCATTTGCCCGTAATACTGAATTGTAACAACAAAGTCACTGAGCACATCACGACAAATCTATTTTTTCAAAAACGAACGAAGCATTTAGACATCGATTGCCACATAGTTCGCAACCGGGTACAAAATGATTTCATCAGAACTAAACATGTTACCTCGAGAGAATAGCTCACAGATTTTTATAGTATATATAAGGTTCTAAAACTACAAAAAAATTACAGAAATTATTTTTTAATACACTCTTAATATATATATATATATATATAATATAGTTATGTTTAGCTTGTTTAAGTTGAATTTAAAAATATTATCTTTGAAAAAATTCAAACACACTTGTACAAATTGAGTTAACTACCTCCTAGAAAGTCCACGAGAGCAAAATTAGGTGCATAAAGTTAGTGAATATAAATTGGAATTTATTTTAATAATAAGAAATTTTTTTAATTTTAGGTAATAAATTGAAGTAGTTTTTTTTTTTTTTAATTGAATTTGAATTATTAACGAGGTAAGTAACTTATAATCCATAGTGGTGTTATAAACTTTGAATAGCATATAGATATGAATACATAATTGAGAACTTAAAAATGTTATCCCTCAATAAATA